GGGGAAGACGTTCCACTCCCAGTCAATTTAGACTCAGTCAAAAAATTCTATGCATAAAGAGACCCGCTAGGTCGAAAACACGAAAGGGCGACTTAGGCAAAAAATGGGCATCCCGGTGGACACGAAAGTCCAGGCAAAAGTTTGGGATAAAAGGAAAAAGATAACAACCCACTAAGTCGAAAACCCGGAAGGGCGGCTTAGGAAAAAATGGGTATCCCATTGGGTCGAAAACCCGAAAGCACGATCCAAGCAAAAATTAGGGATCTTAAGCGAGAGGCTGTAGTCTGAATGCTCTTCACGAATGACACATGCACATCTATAGCACCTTGGCAGCGAATTGACCAATCCAACTACTACTCTTCAGAGGCAAGGCATTTAGACTACTTAGGATATGGGAACTGTAGTAATATCAGTTTTAATGCAAATTCGAGCATCTCTCATTGCCATTTATACCTGTTGTATTTTCCGTTTCTATTTCGCAGCTACCTCATATAGGAGTTGCTTCCTTGTACAAATACCTATTCATAGGCCAGTCAATAAAATCTCCTTTCATCAAAGTTGTCTCTTATTATCATGAAATGTTTTCGTATGTAGAATGTGTTTTATTTGTCATTAAATATTGCATTAGAAACATGTGGAATAAAAATTCTTAAGCCGAGATAAAACTTGACTTTACGTCGATGTATAACCATGTGGGAATATCGTATGCATTCCAAGTGTTGTTTTTCCTTGCAGGTAGCAATTTGTAACAGTGACCCTGACCTAGCCAGCGCACGAAGCTGCCTTCATCTGCTACAGACAACTTCAAACCTGATTCCCCAAGTGAATTCAGAAATTTCATAGTTGTCATTTGACTCGGCACATGCAAGTGCATCCCCAGTGGAGTTAATCAAGAACATCCTCAGTTGAGCTAAACTGGGGCATTCACGAAGTTAAACTGGGGCATTCGCAGGTGTCCATTCCCATCTTTTATCCCTAGGTGATTCAAGAGATAATTCCCCAGTGTGCGTAGACTTGGGGCATGTATTCAAAGAGATCCACATGGTGTTCAGTATCCATTCTTCGGAATATTCAGTTCTACCATCCTCTCGACAACTCAAAATGTATGGAAGTCGAGCCAGGTTATCTCTTCCCCAACAATACAATTCAGAATTCAGCAGCATATCTGAAGGATCGCTTCGTCAACGATTCAATCTTCAGCAGGGTCATCAACAATCTTCGGTATCATGGGCTTCCAAGTGCAAATTTTTATCTACAACGACCTTTGGTACTGCAGGCTTCCAGCATCGATATGTATTGACATCCCCAATAATGAGCAACGGTTCCTAATGGGCCTTCTCTTATCCCCATGAAGTTTATTTCTTCGCATTTCATATAATTATCACTGCATAACATTGCATCCTTAAAAGTGCATAGCCGATCCATCAGAGTGGATCTTCACGGCACAAGAAATTCAAACATGCATACGAAGAATAAGCCAGATCAGGTACCTTACACAAAATATTTGAATCATTCAAGGATAACAATACGCCCCTACAAGAGGATATCATTTCCAAAATCCCCAGTCAATGACCTTCGCCTTTTCAGTGCCCAGCAAAATCAATACACCAAGTCCAAACCCAACACTCATTTGTGTCGGTCTCTAAACACTCATCTGCATCAACTCATAAACACTCGTCTATGTCAGTTCCCTAAACACTCGTCGTGTCAACCCCTAAAACACTCGTCCATGTCAATTCCTAAACACTCATCTGTGTCAGCCTCTCAAACACTCGCCCGTGTTTAGCTTTTTGATACTCGTCCGTATCTTCTTTCAATACTCGTTTGTATTGATTCAAACACTCGTCCGTGTTTAACCTTTGATACTCGTCCGTATCTTCTTTCAATACTCGTCCGTATTGATTCAAACACTCGTCCGTGTTTAACCTTTGATACTCGTCCGTATCTTCTTTCAATACTCGTCCGTATTGATTCAAACACTCGTCCGTGTTTGACCTTTGATACTCGTGTGTATCTTCTTTCAATACTTGTCCGTATTGATTTAAACACTCGTCCGTGTTTAACCTTTTGATACTCGTCCGTATCTCCTTTTAATACTCATCCGTATTGATTCAAACACTCGTCCGTGTTTAACCTTTCTTGATACTCGTTCGTATCAATTCAAACACTCGTCTGTGTTGTACTTTCCTTGTATTGGCATGACGCTACGTTACAAGTCCAATCATTTCCTTGTATTGGCATCATTCTACGTTACAAGTCTTATCTGCCCTTGTGTTTGCATCATACTACCCCCCTTTTAATCATCGTTTCCTGATCGATGTATTCTTGTTAGCCGTGGTGTCCTGGTCGATGTCTTCTTCTTTGTTATCGTGTCGTGACCAATACCTCCACCTTCGTCGAACCTGAGATTGCCTCTTGGCTAGGTTCTTCTCAATACCGTCACCGTCGAACCTAAGATCGCCTCTTGGCTAGGTTCTTCCCATATATCATCATCGAACCTGAGATTGCCTCTTGGCTAGGTTCTTGCCTCAAATCATCGTCGAACCTGAGACAACCTCTTGGCTAGGTTCTTTCCATATATCTTGTCTTAGAACCTGAGATCGCCCTTAGGCTAGGTTCTCTGTCAAATCACTCTCATGTGTCACCTTAGGATCGTAGGTCGCCCGTAGACCTCGTCCACTGTCTTTTCGTACCAACCATTTGTCTTGTATTGGCATCACGCCACGTTATGAGTCCAATCTCCGTCTCTTCATTGAAAAAAACAAAAAAAAAGTTCTTTCCCCTAGCAGATATCATAAAAATAAATAAACACTCACGCTTTCTCCCAGAACAAATTTTTGGCATTGGTATTTAATCATCTTTAACCTTGAACTTCCGAAAGGCACACACCAATCATACTTTCAAGTTTAAGACGATTAAATAGAGGCAGCTGTAATACCCCAAATTTTTCCTACCTCTTTATAAGGATAATCTGGCTTACGCATCTCTCGTTCTTCATGTACATACTTCATTAGGTCATCCAACATTGCACTTCATTCATTAATCGATAATTTGGCATGGGATCGATAATATTGTGGAATTAGGGATTCTATGGCTTTGTTGGTTCACACCTTTACTCAGGCTTGAATCAGTTGGTTTCCCAATAACTGTGGTTTGTGGAACTAGGGTTTAGATTCTTGATTATTGGGAACTTCTCCCCCATCAAGCAACGAGGTTGTCACCGTTGGCTAAGGATCTTATTAAGTTGATGTGTTGGTTCTAACTGATATCTCAAGAGGTTCCTTCATTCAAAAAGCACCCAAGTCGAGAGGATTATGGTTTCTTTATTCATGGAGTTTTGAGCTGGCAATGCCCATCAATTGAGTTTTGTTGGATGTTCATGTCAAAGTTATCCTGGTCATATATACTTCTATATTCATTTCTCGATGGTTCTTTAAGGCATTGATGTGGTATGGGTTGTCAAGTCAAGGGTTTGTGAAGGGAATGATAATTTGAAATTGGAAGTTAAGGTCTCGAGGTGATTTGAACTTTTTTATGGAGATTTGGAATGGCGGAATTGTAAAGATGATCAAAGTTTTAAAGTACGGGTAATTCATTCCTGGTTTTTCTTGAAATCAAAGAACAAGTCACAAGCTTCAATCCAAATTTTTAGGACATGGTCATTCAAGAACATTCAAGGTTCATTCAAATTTCCATCAAGTATTAAAAGAGATTCAATAGTAATCAAGATTCAACATGATTTTGTCTGCCTTATTCGACAAGCTCTTAATTCTAGCATTGCAACTATCATCAATCAACCAAGCGCTTCAAAATATATAGTTTCTCTTTGCTTTGGGACCATTATTTCTGTTAAGAGATATCATGGTGGGGGAATGATCAGAGAAATAATACGCTGTACAATATAACAGTCCTCCTTCCAACAAAAAAAACAATAATATCCCTCGAATATCAAATACTCTTCATCATAGTGTATTTATCAAGTCCCGTCTTTTCAAAGAATATCACCTATTCTAGTGCAACATCACCACCTCAGAGTTTCAAAAAGTCATGGCCATTTACACCATAATTCGTTACATCATTTCAAGTATTTTCCAAAGTTAAATTCTTGTCATATTTTAATACATCAAAAAATTTACAAGAAAGCATCAAAACCTAAGTGCCTAAGTCTTCCATCTTCATGACCAAGCCTTCTCCCACTTTTCACGTCATGAGTCAAGTCTTCATTTAACCGTACGGTATGTTTCTTCTCCAAGGTAATTCTTTAGGCCCCTTGTCATTCTTCAAATATTCGTAGCCTGCATTATTAGGGAAACAAATCTTGATTAGCCAAAACGGTAACAACCATCAATTCCAACTAATAGCTAAAACCACATGATAGTTTTTTTCTAACAGTTTTTCCAATTAATTCCAAACCTCCTAATTACCATAACAGAAACCAACAACCAACCAATTTTTACCCTTTTCCTAATTCTAACCAGCCTATAACCCATCTCTAACTAACTTCCAAAACTGCCTAACAAACCTTTTTACCAACTGTAACAACAAATGTCCAAGGGAGTTTACTAACTAAAACTAGCAGAATGCAATAACAGAATTCCAGAACCCAGCTCACTAATCTTCCTTCTAATCTAAAACCAACATAATTATAAAAAAAAACAAAAATGGAATAAGAATCATCTAGAAACTCATCACGAGAACCAGGCTCAGGCACAGTACAAAATCAAATCATCTCTCTAATTTCACTGTAAAATTAGATTAGTAACCTACTTCTAATTTTAGCTTCAAGGTAACGTGTTGAATGAATTTGTTGAAACAGATGATAAGATAGTGCTCCATGCTGATGACAAACTTAAGAGCCAGTTTGCAATATAATCTGATAAGTAAGAAATTACTTCATGAGCTATATCGTATCAAAAGTAACATTAAACTGCCGATTACCTGAGGAGCTATTGTACTCAGGGTGAGGAGCAGTGCTCCCAAATCAGAACCAGAAAGAAAGAATGGTGGAAAAGGGTCCATGGTCTTGCAAACCTGAAGATCTGTTTTCTCCGTGTAATTTCGACTCAGTTAAAGAACAGAAAAGGCCAGTGTTGCCAAGTATGTCTGAACGTTGTTTTAAGAGCAGCAATATAGATTCTAGCAGTGGTGAGCTTTGTGCAATTGATAGTATTTTAGGAAACAAGAGTTTGATATAGGTTGATCTTGACACAGTTCCTACTTCATTATCAATATTTGGGGAATCAGATATGAAGTCGGGTATTACATATGACTTGAGGCCTGAACAAAGAATACAAGGGCAACTGTTAAAGCAATTAGCTAGAAATAGGAAAATAGCTGTCTAAAAGATGGTGATTCGGATTATCCGTTTTCCCACAAGGAGCGGCATGCAAATCTGAAGCAACCCTATGGGACAACCTCTAGTGAGGTCACTTCCTGGAATAGCATTCACAAACAAAGACCAAACATGGATTCTGATTCTTTAGATTATGTACAGATGAAAACTCCTTCGATGCACCCAGATTGTAGCCATACTTCAAATTATACACCCCTCCTTCCTGCCTCGTCTGGATCAAGGTCTGAATACGATGAATATCCATCATATGCATTAAATATGGAGAATTCTTATGGTCATAATTTGGAGGCTACTTCCTGGAAAATAAATTATAAGGAAGAAAATCAATATCTTTATAATGGTGCAAAACTAACGAATAGGGGTTTCAAAAGTGAAGATATGCAATTCAAAAGTCCAGGTTCAACTTAGAAGGTAGGACGTCAGTCTGAAAATATGAAATAAGGCCATTGTGAAGTTGGAGAAGTTAACATAGAATTAGCACCATAACAGAAAATAACAGAAACTTCCTAATAACTTCCTCTAGCTAACTTCTAACTTTCTAATTAACATCACCCAAAACTAACAACCAAAAAAAGCTTCCTCTAACCATTTAACTACCTTACTAACAGACAATCTATACCAGAATGTAACTAACTTCTAACAGCTTGCAACTAACTCCTAACCACCTTCATAACAGAACCTGTAAGCTTCATAAACTTCCAGCTGCTTCAACTATATAACCTCTTCATCACCTTAAATCACGGAGACTGGTTTTTTCCCTCTCCACAACATTCACTTCTATACAAATAACCTTCATATTCTCTCATACTCTCACCTTATTCACCATTCTTTCTCTGCAAGAAAACCTAAAATATCTAACGCATCACCATCTCTACTCATTTTCTACCAATTCACCTTCAATCATCCCCTCCAATTATTTCTTCCTCTCTAAGCTCCACCTTCATTGTTTCCATGCTTCAACCACCCAACACCATGATCACCACACTATAGCATTCTCTCCTCCAATCTTCACACATCCGTGCTATCTTAATCTCAAGGACGCACAACGAAAGCAACACAGAAACACGAAGCACAGAACAATGGAGAAGAAAGGTGAGAAAACGAGAAGAAGAAGGAAGCGAAAGGAGGTTCGTACCTGAAGATATAAGAATCTCAGGTTTTCTTGTCGTATCTCCATTGAAGATCCTCCAAGAAACTCCGATAGGTAAGTCTCAGAATTTCAATTATCTTCTACATATTCATGTCTTGATTGAGTCTTCCTGAACGAAATCATATGGTAGGGAATTTGAAGCCTCGATTCTGGGCATTGATTTTTTGTCTTATGAGAGTTAGGGTTCTTGTGAGTATGGTGGGTCTGGTAGTTTGGAGTTTTGATCAGAGAAGAAGAATAGTGAGCGACGCTGTTTTTGAAGAGGGAAGAGGGAGATCTCGGGTTCGTTTGAAGCTGTGTAGCCACAATTTGATAACCCTAACAATACCCCAAACGACCGCATTTTTCATGTTGATTCTGTTATTTTCTTTTTTTTAATAATTTGATGGCTAATTGAGAAATAAAAAAATGGAAATTAAGGTTGATTGTGTTGGACTGGGCCAAATCTCAAACCCCTTTGCACCGGCCCATGTTTTTTGTTGACATATTACAAAGATTAAGAACAAAAACAGCTTTTGGACTTTTCTGAAATGGGCCTGGCGCCCTGATTTTTGCACCCTCCTGAATTTCAATTTTCACCCCCCTGATTCTCTCAATTTAATTATTTCTTTTATGATTTTTTTTATGACAAAAATACATAGTAAAAATGGTAAAAAAATTATAAGGAACTTTGGAAATTAATTAGGAATTTATTTCCCTTTTCCTAACTTTTTAGTCAATTCTGATCCCTAGTTTTACTCATTTCATGTCATGTATTTCATTTGCGATTTTTGGTATGGATTGTATGCAATACTTTAATACCCGTTGCTTAGTTTTACTTGTTTGTATAATCTTTCATGACCCCTTAGGTGATTTTGGTTCAAATTTAACCTTCGATTTAATTGAACTAAAATTAAACATTAGGCTCCTAAATCCAAACATGCAAACATTAGGTAGAATTCCTTTGAAATTCCAACTTTAGGATCATGGTGCATAATAAAATTAGGATTAGAAATAGGCTAGTCTCCCTTTGACTTTTCTTCCCTTTTTGCATTTACATTAAAACTAAAACTTCTCTTTTCCTTTTCAAACTTCAAAACACTTTAAAGCTACTGATGAGAATCATGCGTTTGCTTAGTATGGGAAATGATAAGCGGGTCTCTTCTCGATCTTATGGTTATTCATCTCAAGTCTAGGTGTGGTTCAAGTCTCAAATACTCCTTTCAAGGATAAGTAGAAAAGTGGCTAATATCTCTCTCTTGAGGTTAACTAGTCATTATCTGCAACAAAAATACAAACCAACTCAAACCATTTTGTGCGCTCGAGCACTTGTTCTCTAAAAATCCTTTTCAGGTAAGGACATGATTAATTTACTTCTATGCCAACGCATAAGTCTCCAAAGGTTGAGCTGTGGCAGAAGGCGGAATTAACTTCGTCCATAAAAACACATAAACAAACAAAAACATATGAGCCGAACTATGGTAGCTCTGATTCCTCAAAAAGGATACGTAGGCATTGGGGTAGGGCCCAAGCGAGCACAACTTTATTTTCCTTACTTTTTTCTCATTTCTTTTGCATGCATTCTCCTTTCAGTAGTATAGTAAACAGTAAGAATAGATTAAACACACCCATAAGATAGATAACAAGAGTGGATACCGTAGAGTACTACGGGCGTGTGGGGTGCTAATACCTTCCCCTCGCATAACAAACTTCCTTACTAGATCTCTCAGTCGCAAGACCGTGACTTCTCCCTTCTTAGGTTTTCTTGATGTTTACCTTTCCCTACATGTGGGATAAAAGACGTTCGATGGCGACTTCATTGTTTGATGATTTTCATCCGGATGTTTCATCCTTCACAATTCATCTCCTTATAAGCCAAAGAAGAATGGGACTGCTGAAGATGCTAATAAAAACATCAAGAAGATCATCCAGAAAATGGTTGTTACTTATAAAGATTGACATGAGATGTTCCCTTTTGCTTTGCACGGGTATCGTACATCCGTACACACTTCAACAAGGGCAACCCTGTTCTCTCTTATGTATGGTATGGAAGTAGTGCTCCATGTTGAGGTTGATATTCCTTCTTTACGCGTGATAATGAAACAAAGTTCTCATAGGCTGAATGGGTCCAAAATAGGTTTGACTAGTTGAATTTGATTGAAGAGAAAATAATGACGGCCTTATGTTATGGTCAATTATACCAAAATAGAATGGAGAAAGATTTTGATAAGAAGGTCAAGCCTCGTGAATTCAGAGAAGGGGACCTCGTGCTCAGGAAGATCATGTCTTTTAACACTGATTCTAGGGGCAAGTGGACTCCTAATTTTGAAGGCCCATATGTTATCAAGAAAGACTTCTCTAGAGGTGCATTGATTCTTGAAACTATGGATAGAGAGGAGTTCCCATGTCCTATTAATGCTGGTGCAGTCTAGAAATACTTTGCCTAAATAAATAAAAGAATAGCTCGCTGAGTCGAAAACCCGAAAGGGCGACTTAGGAAAAAAGGAGCTCCGCGGTAGGCTGAAACCCAGAAAGGGTGGTCCAGACAAAAATTAGAGACATAAACAAAATAGATTCTTCCCACTAGGTTGAAAACCCGCAAGGGCGACTTAGGCAAAAGTTAGGAATTTCTTGGAAAGTAATTGCATCAAACAAGACTTGATCATTGAAGCAACAATCTTCTTAGACTCTCACCATACTTCAACAGAAGCCGCTGCTCAGGAATTCAAAGTTGTTAGGGAGAATAGTGGCCACTGTATTTCAATGTATCTTTTCCAACGATTTCCATTTTCCAAACTTTGTAATGATTTGTGGGGTCTCGCCATTCACAGACTACCATCCTATTAATAAAGTTTGAGTTTTATCCAATTCTTTGTAATTCTTATTTTATTCTGCTTACAAAGACTCCATTTATTATTTGTAGTAATTTCAAAACAAAGAGATTTAATAATAAAACTGTTTTTGAAAAGAATTCACAAATTACTTTTTACTTTAGATTCTGTGACTCAAGAAAAACAAAAATAGTGATTCCAAGGATGGACGAGCTCTGAAATTTTGGAATTATATCTTCCTCAGGAAAGTTATCTCAGGTCACTCTTGCTGGTGTGTGCATGGTCTCCTTGTGTTTCTCAAATAGTTGGAGATGGTACCGATTGATGTACAATGCGGTGTTGGGTTTGTGATGCCATTTCCCCTAGTCAAGTCTTGATTCAGCTCTTCTCCGGGTTATTTTTTTTTATTTTAGGTTTGCATGGTTTGATACCTTTATCCCGAATTCCCCAATAAGGTCTTCGCTCATTTGGCGGAAGTTCCTTCTCCCTTTTGTGTGTTAAGTAAGAATAACTTGCAAAACATCGCCCTTTGCAATGTGGCATTGTTATTGTTGTTGTTTGTTTCCCAGACAATTAGACAAGTGCAGTATCTTTTCTAAAAAGTATGGAAATAATTATCAATTTGTTTTGGGGTTTCTCCTGCCAAGTGTTGGGTTTGATTTAAAATCCCCATAATTTTAATTTCTTGCTGTATCATTTGACTTCTTAAATCCCCAAGTAAAGCTGAGATAATGTTTCTCTATGAAATTTGTTATTCCCATGTGTTTTAATACTTTCTCCCCATGGAAGTTTGTGTAATCATCACTCTTGGTATTGAAGAATGTATTTTGGGCTCCTCTCGATGATGTCGTGTCGTACTCCCTAATAAAGTCAGAACGAGATCCCTAGTTGATATCTCTACGGCATGGTTTTCACCTTCCCTAGAGATGATAATATTATAATCTCCAGTGGAAATCTAGACGTTGAGACATTTGTTTTTCCTATTGAAGTCTGTGTGATGTTCCCCGGTGAATCCTGAAGGAGGATGTTATATCCCTGTATTTGTATTGATTTATTGTTTTGATTTGGTTACTTTCAGATTGTGCTTCTTCCCAGTGAATTTAAGCCATGGAATAGGAATTTCTTTCCTCAATTGGTGCTTACTTTCATGCGAAAACTTTCCTCCTGGATGTGATTTAACCGAGTATTTACTTTATCCAAGCTGATTTTTGTCTGGTTATTCCCAGTGCTGTATATTCGTTTTGTTAGCATATATGTCATAACATTCGTATATTCTTACATATATCATGCATAGATGAATTTAACCATTCATTGCTCATTTGCAGTTATTTATGTTTTTGTTGGCATATTACCCTATTTTGCAGAGTTATGTTACCCTCTCTCCAATAGAGTGTCAACCTTAAGCAGAAAGTGTATATTCTTTCAATTTCCCTAGAGTTATCCCTCGT